AGACATGGAACATTCCCCAAGATAGGTCATACGTTAGGCCACAAAACGAATCTTATTAAAATTTAAAATACATAAATAATACAGAATATCTTTTGCCAATTGTGGTAGAATAAAATTAAAAATCAGTAACAAAAGAACTAGAAAACTTATGGATATATGGAAATCAAACAATACAAACAATGGAATGAAAAAACAAATCACGGGGGAAATTAGAAAATATGTTTAGAGGAAAGAAAACTAAAATAGAAAAAACAAAGCCTAAGAGAAATCAAGACAGCAGTACTAGAGAAACATGTAGAGCTGTAAAAACCAATATTAAAAAGGAAGAACGGGCTGGGCTCTAGCTCAGTGGTGGAACATTTGCCTGGCATGTGTCAAGCCCTGGGCTCCATCCCTAGCTCACCACGCCCTCCAAGAATAAAAAGAAAGAAAGAAAAAGAAAAAGATCTCAAATCGACAAGTTAACTGTAAATGTTAAAGAATTAGAAAAGAGGGGTTGGGGATTTAGCTCAGCGGCATAAGCGCCTGCCTTGCAAGCAGACAGTCATGAGTACCGATAAAAAGGAAAAAGACAAAAAAAAAAAAAAAAGAATTAGAAAAGAGCAGACGAGTAACAGGAGCCAGGCCAGCAGGGCCAAGGTTTTCCTCTTTCACATGTCTCCATATACTGGGACTCTGGGACTCACACACTGGGGCCACTTTTGTCACCCGGACATCTGTGGCCGTGACAGCTTCCTTCATATGGTGTCCTGACTTATCCAGGATGCTGAGCTTGTGTGTTGAGAACCCCAGATGGGCCACACGGCCGTGGCAGCCCACCTGAGCAAGCCATGTTTAAATTTGACTCCACACACATACCCTGCCCAAAGGGCAACAGGAAGCGGTGATTTAGAAGCAGGGAGACCGGACTCATAGCTTGGCCATGTCCCTTGTGCAACTGACCTCCCTGTTAGCTGTTTGTACATCTAGAATTGGACGTAGTAAGTTCCCGCCACATGGGGAATCTGTGAAGCTTGCTGCTCAGCGGTGGAGGCATTTTCTGAACTTCCAACTCACATCTAATGGGCATCTCTGTCTAACACACCCACTGCAGAGCCCCGGATTTCACCCACCTGCCCCCCCCCCAAGCCTTTCCAACTACCCCCCAGTCAAAAGGCAATGTAGCCTGCTGGCAAGAATGCAGGGGCTGGGGCTGGATCCCCAGCGGTGAATCCACTGGCTGTGTGGTGTGTGTGATGCTAGGTAGATTCATGAATTCTCCAGGCCTCAGTTTCCCCCTTGGGCACTGAGTGGCCGTGATGATGATGATGATATCCACGTAGGGCTGAGGTAAGGGTGAAATGGTGTAATGTGTGAAGAACTGAGAACAAGGAGTCATTCTTACCTTCCTGGAAAAAGCCCCCACCATCCCAATCCTTCAAGCCAAAAGCACAAGTGTCGTGCTGGTGCTGGCCCAGCTGTATGCTGTATGCGAGGTGTGTGTAAAAAGGGGAGCAGAGGTCATGGGAAGAGTAGTGCGGAATGCCCAGCATTGCAAGGCCCAAGGTTCCATCTGGGGAGGGGACAGACACACACACACACACACACACACACACACACACACACACACACACACACAGAGGACCGGAAGTCCTACTGTGAAACGCACCAGGTTCGTAGCTGCTCTCCATCTGTGTGAACACACCCTGGTCCAAATCAGGACCGTGCCCCTCCCATGGCAACCCGAGTGATCACTGACTTAAGAAACTGAAGTCAGGACTCCACCCTTCCCTTCCCTTCCCTCCCTTCCTTTCCCTTTTTCTTTCAACCGGTCATCATGGAAATTTCCACACAGGCAAACCCAGAGAGGATGGGAAACGGCCCCTCCCCAGGACCCCACCCCGTCTTGGTGGCCCACAGCCACAGGCTTTCTGGCTGTGCCACTCACCGCTCTCCCCTGTGCTGAAGGCTTTGTGTCGCTTCATTTGTAAACACTTATGTGCAACAAGAAAATTGTTTAAACCCTAAATCCACTACATGATTTCTCTGTTGAAAACCTCCCTGAGCCCCCTCACCCTGACCGTGTCCCCTAGCTTGGGCCGTCCCTTCCACTCGGCCCTGTCCTTCCCACCCTCACCAGCTTCGCGACCATCCTGGGGGCTCTGCCTATGCGGGCTCTGCCTGAAGCACCCCCATTTCCCTGGGTTTTCAAGAACACCCCTTATCCCCAGGTACATTTTTAGTTCCAATGTTTGCATTTCTTTGCTAATCGCAGCAGGAGGCCACTAGAGGGAGCTGAGCTGGGGAGTTGCAATCTGAGTTGTTTTAAAAATATCCTCCCGGCTGTTGAGTGGAGGATGAGTTGGGGGTGGGGTGTGGGAACGGGAGGGCCATGATCTGGGATAATTAAGGGAGATGGCAGCAGAAGAGCCTAGCATACATTCAGTGCTCACAAACTAGGGGTTATTAACATCGCTGTACTAACATCCCCTCTTTATTTTTACTCTTTGTAGCGGTGCAGATTGAAACCCAGGCCCTTGCACCAAGCCACACCCCCAGCCCTTTTTAAATTTAAATCTTGTTAAATTGCCCAAGCTAGGCTCAAATTTGTAATCCCCTTGCCTCAGCTTCCCACAGTGCTAGGATCATAGGTGTGGGTTACATGCCCAGCTAGTTCCCCTCTTATTTTTTTTAAATTTTTTTGTTAAATGTAGATATAAGAACTGTGGTTAAGGACTGGGGATTTAGCTCAGTGGTTCAAGTGCCGGCCTGGTTAAGTGTGAGGTCTTGAGTTTGATCCCTAGTACCAAAAAAAAAAAAAAAAAAAAAAAAAAAAAAAAATTGTGGTTGAAGCCAGATGTGGTGGCACATTCCTGTTATCCCAACTACTTGGAAGGCTGAGGCAGGAGGATGTCAAATTTGAGGCTACCCTGGGCAACTTATCAAGACTTCATTTCAAATTTAAAAACTAAAAATAGTGATGTATTCTACTGCTCCCTGGGTTCAAAAAAGTACTGAAGGAAAGAAAAGAATCATGACCGAATGTGGACATGGTTTGCCCCAAATGACCCAGTTGTCTGGTTCCAGGACAGAGGTTGAGGGCAGCGAGTTTACTACTGTCTCTGGGAACGCAGACCCCCATCTGTGAGGAGACAGTTGCAGGCATAATTACACCTAGAACACCTAGAACCCTCTGGGAGACAAAACCCCTTGGTCTTGGGGGATTCTTGGGGGTGAGGGCTCTTGGGGGATGGCGCTGGAAGAGCCAGCCAGAGCAGGCCAACTGGACCTGGGGTGGGCTGAACAGGAAAGGGCAGCAGCGTGTAGGTGGAAAGCTGTGACAAAGTTTAACCACCAGGGGGCCCCCTTGCACCTCCTCTGCTAGGGGACACTAAACTCCTCCTCAAAGAAATGGGCAGCTCTGTGCCCCACCCCAGTACTGGAGACACGGGCTTCGCTCCTCGTGACCACCTTCAGACAGACTTGTCCTGCTAATTGCCTGGCGGGGCTTGACCATTCTGTGCCTCAGTTTCCCCACTGAGTCTCTTTAAGGGCCAAACCCAAATCAATCTCTAGCTTTCACCTTGGCCTGATGCTTTTTTTTTTTTTTTTTTTTTTTTTGTCTTTTTCGTTTTTATCGGTACCAGGGATCGAACTCACAACTGCTTGCTTACAAGGCAGGCGCTTATGCCGCTGAGCTAAATCCCCAGCCCCAGCCTGATGCTTTGCATGCACTCATCAAACAGGGACAGCATCTGTGTGTGGCCCCAGAGGGGCTAGGCAGGGAGGCACCTCCTCTGTTCTTCCCCCGTGAGGCGTGGTGGGGCTGGGCTCGCCATGCTGAAGGCTCCTCGCTGTTGGCTGACAGTGATTGGCTGCTCAGTAGCACCTAAGGAGCCTGAGGCCCGGCTCACCACATTCTGCTGTCTTCTGAAGCATTCAGCGCAGCCCTGAACCTGCACAGTCCTGCAAAGCAGAGGTCTTCATCCACTCTGCCGTGGGCCTTCATGAGACTGGCTCTTCCTCTGGTGCTTTGCTGGGCAGGATGCCCTAGAGCATAAAAGGGCCTAGTCTTTCCCCAGGAAAGGTGGCTTATTTTGAGGGTGGAGGTGGACAGTGGTGGGGCCGGGGAGCAGAGGGGGCAGGCAGTGCTGGAGGCTGCAGTCTGCCAGATTACAGGATATTCAGGATGAAGGGTCAGATTGAAGGGGTACACACAGGACTCTAGCTCAGGTAAGCAGGGATGTATTAGGTACGAGGTGGACCCTTGGGGCTCAACACTTGCAGCCTTGGATGTCATGGGTCTGGGTCACCTGTGACCCTCCAAGAGTGCCATCCATGAGAAAAGGATAGGGCAGCCGGGAACTGTCTCCAGCATGATGCTGTGAGCAGCCCAGGAGCTCAGGATAATGACAGTGACAAACAGGTTTTGGTTGCTGTTCAGGACAGGGCCTGGGTTTCAGGCTGGTCCTGCGGAGGCAGAGGCTCAGTGGCCAGGATGACCTGCAGCATGGGCCTCAGCCTCTCTAGTACTAGTAGTAACTGTCATTAGTTGTGTAGAACCAGGATTCTGGGCCGAATGGATCCAGGCAGGGCCAGGTAAGCCACATAGACTGAGGGCGGGATTCAGCCCTTCCATGGCCAAGTAAGATTTCAAGAGACTCAGCACCTAGGGAGGGCCACAGGATACCAGTGGGGAGACGCCTGCCAAGTGCCCAGGCAGGTTTGGACATTAAGAAAGTTCAAGGAAGTGGCTTAGACAATGCAGACCTCCAGGGCCTCATGTTGCATTAAACATTTACAACAAAAGCAAACCAACTCCACCAGGAATACCAAAAAAGCTCTGGTGGCTCTGGGGCTCAGTGGTTAGCACCTGCCTAACTCTGTGGTTAGCACCTGCCTAAAGTGCATGGAGCACTGGTTCAGTCTCACAGTGAAACACACACACACACACACACACAGTCTCATAGACTCCAGTGGGACCAACCATGAGCAGGACATACACAAATGCAGCAAGAGGGTCTGAGTGGAGACAGTCACTGTTTTAATTCTGGTTAAGATCTGATACACCAGGGGCCAAGAGGTCCAGGGCTTCTGCCCACTCTGGCCCACCCTGCGGCAGATGGTGCACCTCTGGTCACCATCTGCTCCTGGCTCATGATCTGTTACAAAAATAAATATGAAAAAGCAGCAACTCTTTCATGATCATGGAATTAATCTGACGTGGTTAAATGTGTCTAAGCATCTGGCGTATCTCCAAAATTGCACCAAAAAGATTTGGAAGCACTTGGTTTGGTCTCTGAGGCGAAATGGAAGGTGGAGGAAGAGGCTGGCCTTGCCCCGAGCCGTGGTGGTCCCAGGCTGGCCCCAGCCTCTGGTCACATCTCCGAGTCTGCGTACATGCCATTGATGAGATAGTCCACCTGTGTGTAGTCCTTCTTCTTGTAGCTCTCGTAGGCTTGCAGGGCAAACAAAACCAAGACCGTGGCAAAAAGGGTCACCCCAAGTATAAGCACCACCAGAAGGGGCGTTTTGTCCACTGAGGATGGAGACAAGGGCTCAGTGGTGACCACTAGGTACTGGCCTTCAGTGCTGGGCTGGCACAAATCTGTACCTGGCACCTTGGGTTCCCCTGAGCTCCTGGGTGTCACCCCAGGAGTGGCAGAGGCAGTTCCAGGTGTGGCTTTGGTTTCCATCTGTTCTGATGTCTGGGGGGTGGCTGGTCCTCCAGCCCCATGGGTGGATGACACAGGTGGTGGTGTTGTGGGGGATGTGGCTTCCACCTGGGGGGTCGGACTGGAGGGAGGCGCTGGCACTGTGCTGGTAGTTGACTCCTCAGCTTGAGCTTGGGTGGTGGTCACTGCCGTGGAGGACACGGGAGCCATGGAAGGGGGTGTGGTGACCTCTGGGGTGATGTTAGAGGGGGCAGATGTAGACCTGCCTGCTGTGCTGAGCACCGGCTGGGCCTGTGACACCGGGCTGGTGGGGCCTTGTGCTTGGGTACCCACGGTGGATGTGGGGCTCGCTGTGGAGCTAGTGGGTGTGGGCTCTGAGGAACTGAGCGTGCTAGAGGAGCTGTTTGCATTGGCAGCAGCGGTCTGGTTACTCGTGGTCAGTGTCCTTACCGTCGCTGCTGTACTTTGAGACGTGCTGGTACTTGGCACTTGTGCACGGGGGGTGCTGAGAGACGGAAGCCCAGGGACGGTGGCGGCTGGGGTCTGCCACACAGATGTGGGGATGGGTGATATGAATGGAGTGGCAGCTCCAGAGCTTACAGTCTCAGGCACACCTTCTACAGCTGCTAGGGTACTCACATTTGTCCTGTGCGTTGTCTCTGCTGTGACTTTGGTAGGGCTGAGGGTGGCTGTCAAAGTTCCTTCGGTGAATTTGACCAGAGAAGGAGTCACTGTGGTTGTTTTCTCAAGTCTCTTACTAGGAACCTTTGTTTCCAAAGCATTATTTTTCTTGACTACTCTAACCAACACCTCATTTGGGATTAAGTATCCTTAAAGTGAGAAAAAAAGAAGAAGAAAAAAAAGGCAATCACTTTCAGTCAAAGCAGGCAGAACATTCAGCAATGGTTTTAACTCTCAGTCCTAGGGGTCGCTTTGTGGTGCCGGCTCTGCCCAGCCCAGTGACTTGAGGGAGGCGACCCATGACCACGGCTCTTTCTCTTCTCCCTGCCCATGTCCAGTGTGCAGCCCACCAGAGAGACCACTGATGCTCTGCTTTTAAAAGTCCTTTGCCCTGTGACTCCTCAGCCCACTGGAGGCTTAAGAGCTTCACTATTTGATCTGATTCCCGAAATATCAGAGTGAAAGTTTCACACTATGGCGTGATGCACCATAAAAAAGAAACCAGGACCACTACACACACACCCAGATGTACACGGCAGATGGTAGAAGGCATGGACATTCACATCCCAGAGTGCTCTGTGCTGCAGGAATCCCTGACATCAGTGGGAGTGCAGTTAAATACCAGATGCAGAATGAATGAACTCCTCAAAGACAAGGAGTTCGAAGGGCCAAATGAGGGAACCGTCAGGGCTCTGCTGCCCAGTTGTCGGGGTTTCCTCACCCACTCTGGGCCCCACAAATGCACCAGGGCACCTCTCTCATGCGCCTGAGGGTGCTTTGGGACCACTGTGGACTTGTCCAACAATCACACAGCTCTCTTATCACTTACGTGGCTTGTCAGATGCCACCTGGCTTGCAGATAAGGACAAGGAGAAAATCCAAACCAGCATGAGGGCTGTCCACATCTTGCGGGTAAGCTGGGAGCAGGGTGGTGTGGTCCCTGTGACCGCCAGCTGGCCGGCTCCTCAGGCAGTTAATGTTTCCTTTCTGCCTACCTGAGGGATCTGGGGACAAGAAAGCACACTGGTCAGAAGCCACCTGGTCAGAGACATATATCTTTATCTGAGGGACAGGGCTAAGCAGGATCCAAGGTGCAAATTGAGTCTTAGGAAGAAAAAGTGTTGTGGTTAAGGTGGTAATGGCACTCTCACTAAAGCACTTGACCTGATTTCCTGACAGCTCTCATCTTCTGCAAGTCTTACTCTCTCATCCCAGAGGCCAGAGTTGGAGAGAGCAGGAGGAATAGCTGAGACCTGAACACGTGGACAGGACTAAAACCTTCTCGTGGCCGTGACTGGCCATATCATCTTCTTTTCCCATAGTATGAAGGATACTGTGTGCACCTTATGACAGCTATGACACTTACATCCCTCACTGTCTTCTATCCAACCATCCACTCATTCATTACCTGTCCAACCATCCATCCATCCATCCATCCATCCATCCATCCATCCATCCATCCATCCAGTATTTATTTACGGAGTGTCTATTCATGTGCCAGTGAAAAAACATAACTTTCCACCCAGCGGCCTGCAACCCAGTGAGTCACAGGAAAGAGGTCACTGCAAGCTGTCACAGCACTAAATGGGACCTGTGCCAGGCATAACAGCTGGTTAGGACTTCAAGTGTGAAGTGGGATGGTCCTCTGGGGAGAGGTCCTGAGTGTGGCTGGGCTAGGCTGGCAGAGGATGGGGCACCAGAGGGAGTGGGAGGTGCTGATTCAGCCTGTGGTGGCTACAGGTGTGTCAAGGAAGGTTTCCTGGGAAAGTGACACTCAGGTAACACTGTGAAAGTCAGATGGGGATCCATCTGGGAGGGAAGGTGAGCAGAGGGAGCGCTGATGACAACAGCAGGGTCAGTAGTCAGGAAAGAACAAGGAGATGCAGATGAGTCCAGAGAGAAGCTGCTGACCTCATAGCCATGGGGCAGTTTGGATATCACAGCAGAGGGATGGGACCCCTGCCCACCTGCACACAGTGGTCATGTGAAATACCCACAGGCCTTATGCCCCGGCAGCAATGAGCCATGGGCTCAGCGGCTTATCTGATAAAGATCCCACCCACATGACATCCTTGGAGAACCACCTCCTACCTGAGCCACCCTCTGCCCAGATGTGCCCTCCTCTCATTTCCAATGTTACTTTTCTTCCCATCTGTCTCATCGTAATGAAGACAGGGCTGTCCGTTTCACCCCTAGCACTCTGGGGACCACACATCTGACACACAGATGTTCCTGAATGAATTGCTGAGGAGAGGGGCGAATCTCAGCTCCTGAGCTGGCCAAGTGACCCAGACATGTCACGTAACTTCTCTTAAGCTTCGCTCGGCTGTATGAGAGTGATCCAGGGTCATACAAGCAGCAACTCAGCATGACACCTAACTCAGCCCTCAGGCCACCCAAGAAGCATGTCCAACTGTGCAGAGAGCCACAGGCAAGCAATCCCTATGCAATACAAAGGGATGTCTGGGGGTGGGGTGTCTTTCTCTACCTGCATCAGTGGGTTCTGTTGGAAAGCCTCTTCCAGAAGGCTGGGACCTATACCCTAGTCAGTAGCTTTTCTAGCTGTAAATGGCACTTTCCTTCAAAATGGTCATAAAGGCTCCTGGTGTTTTACAGGCATAGGAAAACTACCCACCCTTACAAACCACAGATTTGCATTTGTTTTCTAGTGTGCAGAAAGTGTTCTTTGTGCTGACAGAAAAAAAAAGTCAGGGTAGGTTGGTGGAGAAGAGGCAGAGCAACATGCTGACAGGGGAAGGATTGAAACCGGAAGGTTTCAGCACAAAGAGCTCACAATCAGCTGTGAACTGAGGCGATGCAGCTGAGCACTCTGTAAACAGTGTATTTCTGCAGCTCTCGGGCCACAAGGAAAGTCTTGGCTCCCTGAATGCACTCCAGGTCTTAGGCACTTTTCTGTCCTTTGGAAGATAAATTTTTTCTATAAAGCAAATATTTTAAAGCTTTATGGATCATAAAGTTTGTGTCTCAGCTACTCATCTGCCATTGCAGAGCAAAGACAGCCATGGGTGATATGAGAGTGGATGGGCACGGCTGCATCCCAATAAAACTTTATTGACACAGACAGTCTGTAGAACTAGCCCACAGGCTGTAGTTTGCCAACCACTGCTCTAGCACTTTACTTCAGGGCTGCAGCTCCAGCTACGTAAGGCACAGAGGAACTGACTCGGTTTACCGAAGGATTTCCTCCTGTCTGGCTGGCTTCTCACTTTGGAACAGACACAAACATCCACTGCTAGGGTCTCTACTTGGGCTTTTGGCGCCTCCCCTATGCTCCAGCACTGGTGAAAACAGAATCCCCCATGCATTGAGGGCCCCAGAGGTGTTGTGGTATTGTAACGCTAAGCCGTGCAGTAACTTTGCATCTGTGTCACAAGGGCAGCCCACAGGGGACTGCATGGTCTCTGTCCCCTAGATCCCTTCCTGCCCATGGACCACATCCCAGTCTACTTCGAAGGCAGGCTCTCCAAATGTGAAGGACCGCCTACTGGGGCCCCAGTTGTGACTGGGTGCTCCTTCCTTTCCCTGTGGCCCTCTGCTTACCCTGAAAAGCCTCCTCAGGATCCTCTCCAGCCTTACTACTCTGTCCCCAAATGGGCAAGCCCACTGTGCAGGGTGTGGTACACTCACCAGAGGCAGCTGCTCAGGGCCGGCTCGCAGGCTGGGCCAGCTTCCTCCGTGGGGAGCTGTGGGCTTGGCACTGTGGGCTCGCCAGGTAAGGTCTGGCTTGGCAGGTGAGGGCAGCTTGGCAGGGCACTCCCAGGCCATGGCATGTTTTGTGGCACAAGTGGGACTGAGGCAGGTGCTCCACTGTGGTAAAAGACGCATCTAGAGTTTAAAAGAGAGTCAAGCATGCTTAGGAAAAGCATGGAGGGAAAAGAGACAGTAAGCAGGCTAGCAGGAAAGAACAACACTCAACAGACCATGTGCGACAAAGTAACAATATGTGTCACAGTTTTCAAAGTCAAAACTTCTGATGTGGCATTTTCTAAGGCAGGAATGTCTTCTAAGGAAGCAACTGAACTGACTGTCCAAAGATAGAAATCTACCAAGATATTCACCAGAGCATTATTTTCAATAGCAAAAATCTGCAAAAACATTATAAGTATTGTCCCATTCACATAAACTATGACTATGATGGCAGCTTTAAAAATGCACAAATTTCTATTTCTTGGCAGAGATGATACACAGTATACAAAATGAAGTGAAAAAGCAGGCTATGTAATAGGATGTATACAATGATCAAATTTTTGCTTAAACAGACATATATTAAAGGGTCTGAAAAGATTTACACTGGAGTGTAATTAAAATTATCCCTACATACTAGATTTACATGTGATTTTTAAATTTTTAAAAGATTTTTAGCTTCTGGGAATTGAACCCAGGGCTCATGCATGCTAGGCAAGTATTCTATACTAACCTGCATCACCAACTTCATTTTTTCCTTGATATCTTGGTTCTTTTATTTGTTTTTCTACATGCATGTACAAATTTTGGAAAACATTTCTGAAAGGCTCCAGAGATAGAAAACAATTTTGCTTCAAGTACTCTGAGCTAACAAGCAGCAAAACAGAGTAATCCACTTGATACAATTTCACATGGAGATTTTAATAATTTAGTGAACTGTGATTTACATATGAAGAAGTACATTTTTCTAGGAGCAACCAAAAACTTCAGTGGACTCTAGGAGTACAGCTGTAATGTAAAAATATTAAGTAGCATAAAGGACTCTCTCATTGATAAACATTGAATGTAATCTGGGAAATTATAGAAACAGTGCATCATCTTCCACAATGGACAGAGATCAGTAGGTGGTCATGCCTAAGGACAACCATGCACCTGCTCCCCAAAACAAATGCCCATGCATGCAGACACAGCCACACACCCATACTGATGCATGCAACTCACAGCTGCACAATTTCCTATTTGTACGCCACTGCACATACACAAACATTGCTACACATGTGCAAGCAGCCACAGAGGCAGTCACACACTCCTGTCCTAAGTCGCACACACAAAGGTTAATGTGCATCCACAAAACATCTCCACGAGGCTATCTTCACAAATTCCACAAGCTTCCCAGAAAATTTTGCTGGATTCTCCCCTTGCTTATTCACTTCCACCCAGCCAAGCTGATGGGCCAATCCCACAGAAACAAAAACTGGTCACCGTGCAGAGTGAAGAACAGGCCTTCACTGTACCATGACTTCATCTCTCCGGTATGGTCCTGCCTCCACTTTCCAACAGAATATTCTCAGTGTCGAGATCACATGTGGAGACTCGTACTGAGCTTTACAAGTTGGCTCACAATGGATCAACCATTAATATTTAAAATAATACTTAAATGAGAATCTAGCCATCAGGACCTATTATTATTTTCACTGTTATCTAGAGGAAGAGTTACGTAAGCATTCAGTAGGAGACTGGGGCAGATGTAAAGCTGGTGGTGCTGGGAATCCCCCATCTGCGGGGCGCAGCTCCCCATAGGATATGTAAGAAAAGGACAGCAGGGACCCCTTTGAGCCAGATGACAGCCCACAAGGAAGAGACTTCCATACTGTGCCCCCGAATGTCAACTTTTCCATCCTCTGCTGGTCCATGACTTTTTTTTAGGCCAGGATCTTGCTACATCACTGGCCTTGAATTCACTATGTAGCTCAGCTTGGCCTTCTAATTCATGGCCATCCTTCTGCCTCAACCTTGTGATGCTTCGTAAATCCTCTTGTCTCTGATCTCTTGTGCTGTCATCCTTGGCTTGATTTTTAACTCTTTTATGAAGCTGTGATACATAAGTCACTACATGCAAGTTACGTGAAATTGGTCTCCAAACTGGTTATTTTTGTTTTGTGGAACAGACAGATGCAGCACAAGTAATCCTCAGGTTTGTTAAAGGACTACTAGTATTATCCTCACACTCTAACATGCTATTAATACTTATTTATCAGCAGGAACATGGCCCAGGTCCCTATTCTCAGCTGGGAAATCTATACACGCAAACCAAGCTGTAGGGATTTTAAAGCAAATAGAGGGCAAACCACAGACACCCAATTCTGACACGTCACCTGGCTGAACTTTGGTAACAGAAGCCCAAGAGACACGTGAAGTTTCATGTATATTGACACTGTCCTGTGGTCCAAAGGATATGCCCATGTGGCAGATGAGAACTTGGGACATTGGATATTACCTAAATTACAGTTTGATATTATCTAAATTACACTACTTGCTGCCAGATCACTAGAAGTGCCTGTATCATAGCTAAATGCAACATAGCTATGTGAGTAGACTTGACATTCTTTTGCCTATTAGGCAGGTCCAACATATAAGTGAAGATTTTGTATTTTAAGTATTTCCCTGCATTTTATTGGAATTTGAGATGCTTCTTGGGGGAGGGAAGTTGTTAAAGTTAGGTTTTTACGTTTCTTTCTTGTAGTAAACCATGTGGCTGTGGATTCCTCTTTGCACAACATATAGGCGCAGAGGCCAAGCAGCCCCATGAGGGAGGCCGGTAAATAGATGGACGTGTGGAAAACTTGATGGAAACCCACAACCCCCTCCCAGGTAGAGGGTCTCCGGGAGAGAGAGGCCTGGGTCACCCAAAAGGTCAACTGTTTTTCTGAGACCAACACTTTTGGAGCCCAGTATGGTTAGGGACTTGACCCAAGACTTCCGACCTCTACCCTCGGGGGTGTCTCAACTGCGTTCCCAAACTGGAACCACCCGGCCTCTCCTCTGCAGTCTGCGACCCCCTTCGGTCCTCCTTCCTCCTTGGCCCCATCCACGCTCCTCCGGAGTTCCGACCCATCCTTCCTTTCTCTCTCCTCCAATTCCTCTTCTTCATCATCTTGCACGCTGTATACCCATTCACTCTTCTTGTCCCCTTTCTCCTGCCCCTTGTGCCCTCATTCATCCTCCTCCTGCCCCCAATCCCCTTTTCTCAGTCCCAAGCCGGTTCGGGGGGCCCTAACAACAGTTCCCTAGACAGCAGCGCGAGCGCCTTACCCGGGCGCGGCAGGCCCGCGCCGGCCGGCGGCCCTCAGACAGCGGGAAAGCACCGGTGGTCAGGCGCGGGACGTGGCGACCAGCAGAGCCAAGCCTGATCCCAGCAGCAGCCCTAGCTCGGGCCCCGCCCGGGCAGCTCCGGAAGTGACGTCACGAAAGGCGGGCCTGGGGCGGGGCCTGGCGCTCCCAGAGGAGAGCCGGAAACGAGGGGCGGGGCTACACTCCGGCTAGTTAACGGGCGCGGTGGGCGGGGTCTGGTGCGGCGCCTGCCCGGAAGAAGCTATTTTTGGGCTGTCCCTGGCGGAACTGGGCGTTCCTGAAGCTCTGCAGTCCGGTTGTGCGCGTGGCTGTTCCGGAGAGCCCGGAGTGGTCAGGCTGGCCCTCACGGTGGTTTTGAAGCGACTTGTGAGGACCTGACGTCTGCTCACTCCAGCTTGGTTCCTGAGCTCGCCAGCTCACGTTATTACGGCCCCTGGGGGCAGCGCTGGTGTTTCCCAAAAGTAATAGTGGGGACTTGGGCAGCTAACGATTTTTGAGCGCCTGCAACCTGCCGGGCCTGTGCTAATTACCTTCAGAGCCACTAATTGAATTTTGCAACAGTACGGTGGGGAGCTTTACCCCCATTTTACTGGTGCAGAAATTGAGACTCTCAAAGAGCTTTGCAATTGTAAGATGTGGAATCCAAATGAGACGAAACTGAGAATCCATAGGATTTGACTTTAATTAGAAATAGGCTTTTCAAATCATTGGTTCTGTCACTGAATTTCACTGTATGTGAAACCCTGTTAGAGCCCCCCCACCCCACCCCATTCAAACCAAAGCCTGAAGGATGACCTCATAGGAACAAAGTGGAAAGTGCTTACAGTTTTAGAACCTATTTTGAGCTTCTGGGCTAGGAAATTTAAAAGCTGAGGTTGTATAACCACAGTATCAACTATCCAGTTTCAGGTTCTGGGAGCCCTGGAACGTGATGTCACATCTCATCTCCAGTAACCTCACAGCTTGTGTGGAATTTACCTGGAGAATTTACTTGGACAAGACACAAGTTTGCCATGACCCAGGCCAGCTGTGGGAGAGCATGTGAAGACAAGATCCTTCTGCTTTGTTTGCTTTAATTTCCTAACTAGCTTAGTTCTAACAAGTCCAGAACTCTAGCTCCATTCACCTGTGAAAATACACCTGACCAGCTAATTGTAGTTCTGTACCTGCACTCTTTAAAAATCAGTGTCTGGAGTGCCAGACGCTGAAATAAGACAGAGCCCCCTGGACCTGAGAGCCCTCCTCTAGACTTGAGGTTCCTGAGTCTGAGCGACAAGCTTTCCCTAGTTAAAGGTGGAATTTTCCTTGGTATTGTTGTTTCAGCTGGGATGCTAGCTGGTACGTCATACAGTTATCAATGGCTAAAGTAAAAAACCATGAATGGTTCAAGAAGGTCCGTAGGCCAGAGCTGCCTTCTGGCAGAGTGGGTCTTCCTTTGCCATGTGAGCTCTGGGGTGGTCTCACTTTATGCCTCCTGTATTGTTGGTGTGCTCAACTTTGCAGTCTGGAAAGCTCTAGGAGTGCACAGTAGCTTGTATCGTCCCAGAAGTGTCTGGTCCCTGCCGGCTTGGAAAGTGCAAAAACAAAGCAAGTCACACTGAACAGGACCAAAGGAACTCCTAATCCCCACATTTACCTCGACTCCTCCCAATGCCTTTGCTTATTGTTCCTGTCTTCCAGTACTATATTTCAGTGACAGCAAGAATGACAGTCGCTTTTCAGATAATTTTGTTGGTATTTTAAAACTGAAGCCTTTCTTTTCTTGATGATTATGAAAGGGCTGTATGCACTAGACAACCCCATTATGAGAGAACGTATTTTGTCTGAGAATAAGAGGGAAGTGCCTTGAGCTATCATTACAGTCCAAATGATTTATAAGTGAAGAGAAAGTGTCTTGCTTTTATTGGGGCTTTTATAGTTTATTAGGGTGTGCATTGCACGGGTGCAATGTTTATGTCTCCTGAGAAATTTGAAAGGAAATTAGTTCATGAGACTTCCCAGAAAAATGCAGAGGAGGCAGGTAATGCTCCTGCCGCCATTCTGAAGTTAGTGAACATGAGATAGTTGGTAGGAGATTATACATGGCAAAGTTTTGGATAAACTTGAATTTCTAAAATTTAATGGACACCTCTGTCTATTTAACCCTTCAGCTCTGTTATTTAGCATTCAGATGCAGGATGGTTTTTATTTTTACAATTTCTAAGGGACTGCATTCAAGATGGTGTCTTTTATGTCTCTGTTATATCAGTACTTGTATTATAAATATATATACCAGTAATTGCCATCTGACCTAAAAACAGGTAGGATATTAGGACTTAATATGTTTTAGAAATTATTTTTATTATGGGCTTGGGATGTAGCTCGGTGGTAGAATGCTTGCCTAGAAATTATTATTTTCTTTAAATAAGTGCTAATTCATTCTAGTCAATTTATACTTCTGTTTATTTATATACCGGTACCACTTTTAAAAGTTGTGATTTCTTCCACAATTTAGGAATAAAAGTACACACAGAAATATTTTTTTTTTTGTCTTTTTGAGACAGGGTCTTGCTATACAATTCAGGCTAGCCTTGGGCTCACTTTGTAGCCCAGGCTGGTCTCAAACTTGCCACAATCTGCCTGCCTCAGCCTCCCAAGTGCTGGATTACAGGAGTGCGCCACCACCCGGCTCAGAAATACTTTTGTAATTAAAAAAAAGTAAAAAAAAAAAAAGGTCTATGACTGTTTTATGTATTTATTGGAAAAATGAGGATGGTTTTTAGTTCTAGTGCTGAAATTACAAAAGGTAAGACGCGGACTTTCTTGGCCCTCCATCCCCGCTTTTGTAAATAAAACTTTATTGGAGCACAGTTGTGCTTGTTCATTAGGCATTGTCTGTGGCTGCTCCATCAGTAAATGGGCTGAGCTGAGAAGTTACAGTGGACTGTAAGGCTCACAAAACCTAAACTATTTACTCCTTGGCTTTTTACAGGGAAGACAGTGAAATCCTGGTTGTCGAACTCAATTCGTTCCAGACTCATGTCTGAGCACAGAAAACGTTAGAGAACTGAAAGTATTTTTTCCATAAGAAATAATGGAAAACCAAATAATTGGTTCTGTGATCCAAAAACTACACAAACTCTGTGTGTCGTCTGGGTGAGGGTGGAGCTCAGACTGACATGTCACACCCTTTGTGTCCCTGGTGAGATACAACTGTGATTTACTGTCATCCTGTAGAGATTTGAGTCAGATGTTCGGTTTGACTATTGAGCAAAGTTACAAACACCAACCAGAGTTGTTTTTAAACTCTGTGTTCAAGTAGTAGAATTTGGAGCAGTTCAACAACCAAGGTATCACTGTATTCTCTGATTCCTAGCTCAGAGTGTCACTAAAATGGAGATTTCAGACAACAGCAGAAATACCTACTAAAAATGGCCCAGCATACAAGGAGTCATTTTCTCAAACAGGAATTTCACAGCTACCAACCAAGAAGTCATAAATGAGGCTAAAATAAAAGACAGTTTTATTGAGTGTGCAATAGGTTTGTTAACTGGGAAAACATTAGGTTGTTTTAGAAGCAGAACAAGTGATCCTTGAATATAAGCAGAACAAAAGCTTTTTAACAAAATGATTCTTTGGAGAAAATAAATAGCACTGAGGTAAATTTGGTGTTCGGAAATAGATGAGCTGACATAAACCGGCATGGTCATGAATTTTGTAAGTCCATTGGACATAGGCAAATGGATCAATCTAGTATTTCTCAGAGCTTCTAAAGTATTGGTAGCCTAGAAAATTACTGCCTTGGTGGGTTCTGTTCTGGATGTAATATCTGTGTCACAACTTACCCTGTCACAAAAATCTCTAAGGCTTAGAACATCTCTTTCTGCTCTTTTTTATTTTACTTCACTCTTTTTTTTTGAGACAGGGTCTCGTGATGTAGTTCAGGCTGCTCTTTAACTCACTACGTGGCCTCAAACTTGTTGCAGTCCTCCTGCCTCGACTTCCCCAAATGCTAAGATTATAGGTGTGCACCATCATGCCTGGCTTTTCTTTTAGATTACGGTAATTTTTATGTTATCACACTTTACAGTGGATCAGAGTCACTTGAAACGTGGCATCCTCTGAGGGCAGAGCTGGGAGAATTGGATACCTGCTGCTGAGGGTAAAAAGGAAGGCGAGACAGACACGTTCTTCCCTGTTCTTCCCGCTGCAGCACATGGAACAGAGAAGGGCAGTTTTTGTTTTGTTCTGTTTTATTTTCCTTGTGTCATTGGTTCAAGTGCCTTCTGAGCAAAAATACCCAAATTTAAGGCTTGATTATCTAAGTTGTTAAACATCTCCCTTCTGCCCTCCTTTCTTTTTTCCTGTTTTCTTTCTCTTTTATTTTGCAGCAGTGGGAATTGAAACCCACACATTTGTTTGTTTGTTTGTCTGTTTATAAGCAGGATCTCCCTAAGTTGCTGAGACTGGGCTCAAATCTGTGATTCTCCTACCACAGCCTCTGTAATAACTGGGAGCGGGTGCCACCATGGCCAGGAATAGTTTCTTGACATACCAGCTAGCTGTCACATTTGAAAGTCAAGGCTCTGGAGTGACCCTGCTGGCATTGAATTCTGATTCCTTCCCTTTTTTTTAAAAATTGGTACCAGGGATTGAACTCACGACCACACACTTGCAAGGCAGGCGCTTATGCTGCTGAGCTAAATCCCCAGCCCCTGATTCCTTCCCTTTTTACTTGACTGGTTTCAGGAGGCTGAGACTTGTGTTCAGTTTCATCAGTCAGTTCTTCTTAATTGTGATAGTTACATGTAAAATACTGACTTAGCAAAAGCTGAGCTATTACTCGTAGAGAAAATACAAGGTTAGGTTCCTGTGAGCCTCTGATTACAATTTTATTGATCAATCGATATGTGATTTTTTCTTCTCTATTTTTTTTAAAAGACATTTTAAAAGGTAAGCACTCCACTAAGGTAAGAACTTATTGAAATTAAAAACGTGCTTTCAAAAAATTAAAATTAAAAACAGGGTGTGGTGACATAGGCTGGCACTGTCAGTTTGAAGCCTTCTTAGGCTGCAAAGTGAGTTCAGGACCAGCCTAAACTACATAGCGAGACACACTCTCAAATGT